AAGTTTTTTCAACTTAATCGTATTCTTATTTTCCTAAAAACTTTTCAAAACCTGAGAGTTTATGAATTAGTTTATCTTTTGTTCATCAGCTTAGGGCACATAAAAATTGCTATGTCAGGGAAAAACGAAGTGTTGCAAATGATTTGTTTGTATCTGTAACAGCGCAAATACGATACAATTGACCCCGAAAAGGCTCTCGTAATTACTACAACAGTTTCCCATTTTTCATACACGCAACAAACAATTGTTCCTTACGTTTCAATTTTCACGTACAGCGGTACGACTACTTTTAATTAAAATTCTCATGAGTATTCATCCAATAACAACTACGCTGTTTTCTTTTATCTTTCATTCGTTCTTTAAAAGTTTTTTATCTATGTGACAAATTACTCTATCTCTTGATTCTCGCTCCACCGTCCCATGGAAACTCCTTGGAGCTTTTCAAGAACTAATTCCGTCATTTTTCCATATCGTTCCGCGCAGATCGTCGCACGGAGAAGTGTATATAATTTTCACCAGGGAATAGAATCCAGAGGCGAGACCGAGATCCCAGGGGCCGTGCCATTCGATCGGCGTGTGGACTTCGAAGCCACCCAGTCGCCAATCCCAATCCTAACGTCGACAGTGTAGTACGTTCACGTACCGGCGATAGATTACGTCCATAGACACGGCGACGGATATTGCAGCGAGTGGAAGAGAAAGAATGACGCGCTTGAGTTGAATTCAAAGTGCTATTCTTGCGTTACTTTATACCGAACACTGCAAAGTGCAGCGGAATTTCAAGCTCCCGATATTTTTTCCTCGATCTATGAAAATACCTGGACCAGGATACCAACCCCTAAAAAAAGAAAATTATTCGACGCCATTGTTTATACCACCCACTAAAACTAATCCAAATCAACTGATCCAATTATCAGTTACCAAGAAGTTTATCGAATTAAGGAGAAAGATTAAAATCGTCTCGAGTAATCGTTCGAAAGACTATTCCAGATAAATGTCGTGTCGATACCGAAAGAATGACGACTTCCCCCGACTGCCATTATCGATGCGCGAAAGAGATCGTGGGGGGAAAAAGAAATACAGCCGGCGACAGGCCATGTATTATGCATCGTGCGATCGCAGAGGTCCCCCGAACGTCGATTCGCGTACATAACTTCAATTACAATTAGTCAAACATCCTGGAGGTCTACGGGCGAACACATTCCCACAGGTATTTCGGCTGACGCAGCCCCTGCGACCTCCGAATGCATTAACGTTCAACCGTTTCTCCATCCCGCGCGCCCTCTGCCAGGCGCATGTTACGAAGAACGTCGGAGGAGAACGTTGCCAGACGAGAGACGTGTATGCGTCCCGACAACGGCAACCCGAATCTGCTTACATCGTCGTGTTTCGAAAACACTGCCGGGGACTTGTCTGTGATATCGATCCTTGGCCCCCGACCCGTCGCGAATTTGAGTGGTCCTTTAGCGGCAACTAGGCTTGCGAGATTAAAGGCTAATGGAAGCTGCGGCTTGTTGGTTTAAATTGGCCAGGGAATTCCGCCAAATTCGAGAATGTCGGGAGGATGCGGTTGCCTGCAGTTTTGACAAATACATAGCGGGGAAACAGCGGGAGTATGCAGGTCATACTAGCCGAGATTTGACTTTTTAATTCCAGAGACATAGGTATCCAAGTCGAATTAGAAATATTCTTCAACCGCAGAATGCAGAATCCTCTCGATTATAGTATGGCTTGTTCTACACGATTATTGTCCAGGCCTTATCCCTACCACTGGCAGGGGAATTGCCAAGCGCATACTTGGTTGCCCCTCCACTTCTGTTGTTCCGAGGCTCGGGCTTCGGGTAAAAAAGGAATTTATGAGCAGAATTTAATTGCCCCGAGTTTGGGACAATAATCGAGAAGAGTCTGTACTGTATTTCTTGGAAGATAGATCTAGATTGTTAGAGACTTCTTACAAGTCTTCAATCACATCTCACTGTTCTTTTTGGTTATTTATGTACGTAGAAGATCTTCGTCTAATCCCTATCTAACACGTTCAGCCTATCTGTCTTTGTTTATCCTAGGATCATTACCAATGAACACAGTTTTGGAGCTACCTACAGCACGCTGTTCAGCGACTTTCTCGACACATCAAATTAAGGAAGATCGGAGGGTACAAGTATATTACTGTACTGATGAATTCGATCAATCTAATTACAAGTATTTATTAGAAATTGATTTACTGCTCCAAGTAGGAAAAAGAAGATTAAGCCAACGTCCTGGACGAAGGAATATAATCGATGGACCAATTCCAACATCAAGTAACGGATCACTAATAACTTCCTCTTAAGACCCACTGTTAAAAAATGGACACGTACTGTCTCATTCCACTCCCCATTTCTATATACACTCCCCCTCAAACTTAGAACACTTTTTGGTCATGAAATGAACCTGGAAAATCATTATACAGTACGACAGAAGAGGAAGGAATATTAAGGCTCAAGCTATAATACTAGAGCTAGCTCAAGAGAATAAAATTGTTGAACAATGGTATGTATGTAATATGCACGAACCATCGCATTTTCAGCAGTCAGAACAAGTGTCCAAATATGTACTTATGAACGGGAGATGGTACTTCAACAACCTACCAAGGAAATCTTCAGTTAACGCAACTTCCTGCTAAACAAGTTGTCCCGAGGAGACAACATCATCCACGGCCGCGCGATGACCGGGCACCACAAAGGCCCGATCGTGTGTTTGTTCGAGACTTAATTCGTGTGCGCAGCAGTGTACACTGCCAACATGCTAACTGTTCCCGTCGTGCACACTGACCGCCTCCGGCGTACATATAATCGTCGGTACTGCTATTCGAAGTTATGATCAAGCTCAATGTAAACAAACCATCGCGATAAGTCCCGCCGACCGTCGAGAGGTTTTAATTTCGTCCTAATCGGTATTTACTACGTCATCGTGGCCCCGGTAATAGGGCCGTATAAAAGATAGTCCGCCGAGGATAATTTGCGGGCGAACGCTATCACACACGAGCGACGACAGGTGTAGCCGGCCGTATACATGTCCTTCTTGCATGCGCAAGCAACATAAATGAATAGGGTACAAGGGGGGTGGGGGTACCGGTAGTAGCGAAGCACGTGCTACCAGACGGCTGGTCAGGATTCGAGTAAACGACCGTAACCCGTGCCCTTGACTCTTTTCTTGACACAGTTCCGCGAGATACACACCACATAGGGTCGGGGACCACATCCGCCCCAAGGACATCTTTTTTACGCCGCAATGAACCTCGCGGGCGCACGACGCCCCAACAGCGCCATCTTATAAAAAGCGAAACGCCACAAGGAATCATCGTGGACATGGTGTTAAAGAGGGTCTATGAGCGAGAGATAAACGCCGCGAAGAATCAGCTTTAAAGCGACTGTATTTCGTGGCTGAACCCTCGTCCAATGGAATTATACGTAAAGTTTAACGATGCACGAGCCGCTTTTATCACCCCGAACTACCGTTCGAACTGCTAACTTTTACAGGCGAATCCGCCGTTTCGTCATGGAAATCGTTTCTTCTTTCTTTTTTGCTGTAAATTCAGCATCTTGCGACTTTCGAACACGGGACTCGGAACGATTTACCGGTTCCTGATCCTGAAACAGGGGGAGACCAAACGGCCATCTTGCTGCTCCGTTCGATCATCGATGTGTTTTCGGGCCAGGGTTCTTTGTATTGTGGGATAGAACGGGTCAGCTGTTCGGAGGAGTCCAGACGGAAATTCGACCGGAGGTTTGTAATAGGAGCCACCAGAAATTGGTAACCCGTGGGCTCGAACGATAACCGCCTCGTGAATGAAATCGCGGCTCTTACGCTCGAAAATATGGCTGCCATATGTGGCCGGCAGCACGCTTGGGAACAGATTCGTCCCTGCGTGCATCCGAGACCCGTTCCACCTCCACGACCACTTTCCAGCCGACGATCTTCCGCCGAGATTTACGCGCGAGGCCAGGCTATGCGTCGCGGAGAAGCTGAATTTTTAAACGTCTCTCAAGGACACTTAGTCCTACCCGCCGCGACGATCTGACTCATTCCGGTTCATTGGTACTCGGATAAAGTATGGAACTGGGCTAGAATTTTAAATTCAACGAAACTATCGGTTTACTACACCACGTGCGTTTTGCTGGTCACTTTGTACCTTTTTTCTCCGTTTCTGCGGTCTTGAACGCTTCGAATCGTTCAAGCGACTGTCGATTTCTTTGCGCCATTTCTGTTCGTACTTTTTAAGTGAACAGGCATTTTTCAAATAAGAAAAGGGTTCATAATTTCTGGGAGAGATACAAGTCGCCAAATGATGAAAAATGTCCTGATAAATATGGGTCGTAAAATTAATATTTACAAAGTTACGAATAATTTTTTGTTTCGGGTATAACAAATGACTTTGTCGGTTGGGGAGCTATTGTACTTTAGGGAAACAATGACGAAGATTGTACAAAAAAAGTAATCAAAATTATAGAAAACCTTCTGTAATCAAAAAAAAGAAATGATAAGGTAATTCATTGTTTCCATACGATACAATAGGTCAACACAAAACATTGTGTATAATTTTGAAAATATTAATTTTTCCACCCCTGTGTATTACTTTTTTTCATCATTTTGCATGTACTATCTACCCCAGAAATTATGAATCCGATATAGATTGAGAAATTGAATAAGATTACTTTTTCAAATAATTCGTTAGTAAAAACGCAGCGTTCTTAAAGTTCGCGTTTTTCATCGGGTGGCCAAAATGGCGGCGATGATCCGAAAACATCGCACCACTGCCACGCGCAACGAACACCACAAAAGTGATCCCTCGAACACGATATTTCACGGAGACAACCGCGAAGAAATAAACCTCGTCTCCAACATCGACGTTCTCTTATATTTTTTTTTCACGCGGAATCGAATGAAAATTTTTCCGAGACACACGGCGTTTCAGCTAATATTAACGCCCCGCCGTGGGCAAACAATAAGATAATACTCACCGCACACGACTCTGTCGAACGGGCTCATCCAATCTGCAAGTATAAATAGAAAGAATCGTAATTAGTGAGAGTGTACGCCGTGAAATCGATCCGATACGAATATTATCGAGCACTTTAACCCCGCCCGTGAAACGCATGCACCACGGGGGGATAAACTAACTAACCAGACGCCGCGGAGGAACGGGTACAACCAAAGGGGAGCGACTCACACAGCACAACGGACGGAAAAATGGCGGGAGGAGCGAGGGTGGGACAGAAAAGGGGGTTGGAGGTAGCACAGGCGTGTGCAATGCAAAACTTATTCTAGCGGATACACAATTAGAAAGTAGGAAATTCGCGGCAGCTAGACACGCAAAGCTCTCTCTCCACCCGCCTGCTTTAACTTCTCTGTTGGAACTAGGATTAGACGAACGGATCCGTGAAGGTTCGACCGTACCAGGCTTAATCCCTTCTTGTTCCCTCCCCCTCAACCCGCTCACCATGTTCCCGTGATTAAGCAGAAACGTCGGTGGATTAGAGACCCAGCCAGTCGATCTTTTTGGGCCCTATGTCGCGACGGCGAACGGGTCAGTTCAGGTGCACCCGAAATCGCGCCCGATCAAAGGGAATGACCGTTTGGAAAGGTTCGAGGCCGGTCGAAGACACGATTAAAGGCGTACTCATAGATTCCGTCGAACAGACATTCTAATTAACGACCGTACAGACGATACTGGATCCGACTACGCAAAGGCCCTGTTCATCCGAATAAATCCCTGGCCTCGCCGTTACACACTTTGTACCGGGACGACTTACCGCGTACTCGCGTTCCCTTCGTTCACGGCTCGTAAAAGTTATTCTTACGCACTCGTAAACCAGATAAGGACTTTATTGAATCGCGAATAGTCAGTTCCCGCGAACGTTGCCCGATAACGGCTCGAGCGAAAAGAGGGAGCGAGTCGTTTGAATCGGTGGAGTGTGTGGTTACGGAGAAGCGTGTTTGGGAAAAGTCGACGGGGGTATAATTGAAGCTCGTTGTTTAAATATATAGTAGCGAAGTATGTAGTATCGTCGGAGCGCCTGGCGTTAGGAGCGATAGTGCGGGAGGAACCTCCGTTATCTGAACGTTCCGATTGTCTGCACCCTGGACTGACAGCTGTTTGTTATATTGTTTTTGGGTTTACAGTTATTGAACGGTTGAAAATGATTGGATTGTGATATTTAAACGACTACAGGATTATGGAGGTTTATGCAGAATCAGGTAGTTATTATGGAATTCATTTCATGTATTAATGGATTCATTGAATTGGAAGTTAAGTCAATCTTTGTCGTTGTTTTTGCTTTCTTGTGCTTTTTGCTCATTTGCGTATGCTGTACACGCATAAAATCTGTAGTGTATTAATTAGATCGGATTATAATATTTAAGAGAACAAGCTCATATTCTGTTGAACACTTGTTCGATCAACTTTTTATCAATTGCACGTCCTGGAACGTATACATGTATTCATACTATTCATTCATTCCAATGATTGTATACATTTATAGCTATTGTTTTCGCGAATGTTACGTTCATGGGGTGTATACATTCGTCTTTGACTGCGGCTGTGGAGTACAAGAGGCTGACAAACTGTCTTGCGCGTAAAAATTAAGTTAACTCATTAACAAGTAAACCAATTCAGATGGCTTGAATACGATTTATACCTTACAACATCTCACTTCCTCAGACTAATAATTACAGCCCGAAAACGTGCATACACTGACCATGCAAATAATCCACAATAATCCAGACTACAATTATAATATTTTTTATGCCTACACATGCATTAGCTCACGAAAAATAAAACACTAACACTCCGAGTGCACACATCCTAAAAGCTTTTACAAGTGCATATTGGAGACAAGTGGCCCCAAGTGACTTAAAACTCAAAATATCTCCTAGAAGCATTTTTTCATGTTTAATGTCTGTACTTTCAGACAGATCAGTTGACATTAAAGAACGAATAATCTAAAGTCATAAAAACGGTGTGGATATTATCAAAAATTAAGATTCACGTCAAACTCAAGACTAGGATACTTCATCCCTCTCATGCATTCGAAGTGTTAATATTAGTACTAAAATTCCCGACACGTCTTTCTATTAATTTCAGAGAACAGGCGTTCCACATTAAACATCTCTGATCCGTGAAATTCTTTGCTCCAACCGCGGCGCTCCCAGCACCGTTAGCCGCGAGGCGGACGTTTTCCCCGAGAGCTGCGCAAGAAGATGGACGACGCAGTGGCCGGGAAAACGCATGCAGACTCGCGCCGCGGGTCAAGGCGAGTTACAACGTAATTTACGGTAAATGGTAAGAGCGCCGTAGACCGTTTCTTCGTCGGGGCCCGCGGATCTAGCTGTCCGTCACAAGTAGGCGACCAGAAGAAGAAGAAATAAAAAAATTCACCACAAAAGCCCGGACGATTAAATACATAACATTGCCGGTACGGTAACGACGAGAGGCGTTGATAACGAAATGGTCTACGGGAAATAATTTGTGTACCGTACCGGTTGTAATCGCAACTCCATCGCAATATATTCGATCGGTAGTAGTGATCGCGACGAAAATTTCATCGCCGGTGGACAATTTCGAATCGACTCCCGTCAGAGGGACGGTTAATTTGCGGATCCCGTGGACATTCCCGGAGTTAGAGCCGGGTGCAACGCGATATTTTAAGGCGGCCGCACATTGCGCGCAACGCGTCTAACCGCGACCGGCCGATGAGATTGTTATAGTTTCGAGGGAATTATTGGCGTTTGCCCGCGAGAAATCACGGCCCGGCCGTTATCGTTATTGTCGGCTCGAGAACCCTTCCCCTCCCCGATTGTCCGTCGAATTCTTCGCCACATTGTTGGCAAACGCGGTCGTGGTTGTTTCGTTACGATCGGAGTAACAAATCGTCGATTTTACCGTCGAGTAAATGGGACCCTGGCAATACGCACCGGATGCACAGAGGTACATCTGGGTGCATTAGGGCGACCTGACACTTTTAGGTACTAAAGAGTCGACTTGTGGCTTTTTTTGAAAATTTTATCCTATATTAATCTTGTTTCAAGTCAATCTGGTAAAAAGGCCCCGAGCTGTTAGGAACAGGACTCTCCTACAAAAGGATTTCAATAAGAGAAAATTCAGGTACCAAAGGGTTGACTTTGATCGTGTCTAAGAGTTTCCTGACATGCATAGAGAGTGGAAAATGAGTGGCGTTCTTTGGAATCCCGAAAGTTGTAATTATTACTCGAAAAGAAGTAAGTTCCAAAGATATGGAAAATCGAACATAACCTGTACGCTGTCTCCATTGTGTATTCCATTTAAAACTACATAAGCTTGTACAATCTATGAGTTTGACCAGTATGTATACATTTTCAGTCGCCGACGCTGCTAATGATTTTCGAATCAAACCATTGAAATGCAACAAATTTAAGTTATCGTTCGCATAAACTTTTCCCCGGCAAGCGATATCGTACAGATAATTTACTGAATTGAAAAGCAACGATTAAGAAATATATCGCGCTATCGCAATAATACGATGGAGATGGAGGATTAATTAAGATAATCGGGCCCCATAGGAGGCAAATTATGCCACTGTCAATATTTCCAAGCCCAGACGGAACTAGTCGGGATTAAAAAGAAATGCGTCGAGGCACGGTTGACTGCACGCATACGCCGTGAACTTTCCAAGCTCCATTTCCTTGAGATAGAACCTGCGTACGGAACAAAAACTCGTGTCACGTATTTTCCACGAGCTTTTTTTCCACGTAGAATCCATCCTATACAATTCTCGAGTAAAAACTTTCAGGATTCCTATGCTACATTATAATGAGCAATTTTTTAACTTGCTTATTTTTAGTGAAAATACGTAACTCATCGCTATCTTGACCTTGAAACGAGATTTAATAAGTATTCATTTGTCATTAAACTCCACCGATCGCGAAATACGATTACATACATTTCTATCAGGATATCAACATTACCATCAATCACGATTAGCATTTGTTACGAGTCAGAATGCATCGGGCCGTTTACACACGTCATTAATCGTGCCTGCACAAGCACTTACAACAAAAAGAAATCACTCGGTGGACAATACAAGGTTACGAATTACTCAATATGTACCACGCGAAATCTCGTTTTCCAGTACCGTAACAATAGTAAGAAGCAGAGTTGGGCAGAATTTTATTCGAATAATACACAGTGAAAAGCAGCAGTATCTAAGGCTGCCGTTCTGAGCTTCAAACAGTCAACGAAATGAAATAATTGTTCGACAGATATCGATTCATTCATAAAGAAGTATTATTTTATTATAAAAATTGAAATTTTCACGTTTAAACAATTCAAAATGACGAAATACTTTTTTTCATCTTTTATTCGTTATTCGAAACTTTTTATCTAGATAATGAGTTCGCCCATCTCTGGCAAAATCCGTTCTAAATTTCGACTCCAAAACTCCTCGAAGCGCTTCAAATCAAAGTCCCGGCCAACAGTCAACGTTCCGGATCGAGGCTGTTCGAAATTCCACTCGGTTCAAATAAAAATACCCCGTCGTCCCGAAAACTCTCAGGTACCCCCCATTGCCCACGCGAAGCCAATTATGTTCGCGGCGCGTTATTTTCGCGCTGCGTTCGCTCCGAAACCTTGAACGAGCATCTTTCATTAAATCCCCCTTGGGCAGAGCCGAAGAGAGGAGAGCAGACGAAGACGGTCCGTCGCGAGATTTAACGTCGCCGCGCGCAGCACAACGGCCTCCCGAGGAACAATGGCGGTCTGGTCGTCTTTTAAAAATATACATACAACGAACAGGGCCGAGAGGGATCCTCTATCTTGCTAGCTTGCTCGGCTCGCCTTGTACGCTCTCAAAGAACACGCGGTAAAACGCCGTCGGCGCTGTTGTACGCGCTAATACGCGCAGCACGCGGGTGACAAAGCTACACAACAAGCCTTACGTATACATCTATACCTATATATACGCGGATGCATTATGCGAAACACGAAGAAATTGCTCGCAGAGAAACGATGGTCCTCTACTTACGCAGCCCGCCTATCGTGCTTCGAGCACGCTCCAACGACTACGCTATTGTTCCCGTAAATTCAAAATGGAGGACCTGCGAGCATTACAATCGGAGCTACGCTACCTGTATGTATGTATTTACGCCGCGTCTTGTCAATCCGATCTGCCGAGCAAATTAACACACCGCTAGATCGACGACTCCTAAAAACATCCTGGATGCTGAATTCCTTTGCTTTTCATAAATATGATAAGTGCGCTGCCGCGGGACTTGACACGGTGATTGTTTTTTTTTTTTCTCGTGGTCGTTAAATCTTGGCACGAGTCGAGATGCATATGCATAGTGCTTTTGAGTTTAAAGATCAATGTTTTTGTTATCTGTGCATGGGTGACGTGGCGATTGACGTGTTAGGCGTTGTTATAGAATGAGATTGTTTATTGCACGTATGTGGAGTGTATTGTAGGGTTTCGTGGTCAAATTGGGCTGGGATGTTTAGCAAGCAATCACTTTGCGTGGCGTAACTATAAAACCACCCTAAAATTTGGTAATCTTCGTGTATTGTGGTTGAAATAAAAAGGAACCACTTTTTTCTAGGGAATACAATCTATCCTTTTGGGAAGAAACATTATTTATCAACGGGATTTCAGACGTGGCGTACTTGGTTCGTTTTTATTTTAACCATGATACATTCGAATTGAAAATTTTAGGGTGGTTTTATAGTGATACCACGCAGTGTACAAATGTGGATACCCAAAATGTTTAGTAAAAAGAATTGGAGTGTGGATGTTTAGGTGAATATACGGTAAATTAATGGATTTATAAAAAGCGGTTATTTTATTAATTAAGGATCTCGTTAGGTTAAAGGCCGGATAAAAACTCTAATGAACTCCGTTGAGGTGTTGCGTTCAATGACGTTTTTGCCTTCACCTTTCATAGAAATGCATAAAATACACAATTTAGAGAAGCAAAAAGTAAAATATGACAAGAATAATAATGATGTCGTCCATTAGAATATACTACACATTAAATTGATCATTTATACACGTCCAAATTTTAAGCTCGCACATATTAATTTTAAGGTGCTGCATACAACAATTTCTCTATCTAAATATTTCATTCATTCGGAATTGTTTTTATTGTAATTTTCGAAATATTTTATTTACGATTGTGTGCATTCAGCACAGTTTATAACGCGAATACTTGGTCATTTAAAATACTAAGGAAACTTCAAAAAATTGTATTGTAGGAAAGTAAACGTTAATTTAAAACTCGTATCAAATGAATATTTAGAAGCTTGCTCTCCCTCTTTCTCCGATAGGATCTTCCGACGTCTAGCACGTTCAGAATAATTATTCTTATATCTTTTTATGCAAGCTTACGCAATACGTGGACTTACAAGAATTGTTATAAGTAAGTGGTAAATATTACTTCTTCCTTTATACATACATATTTAGTCTATTCTACTAAACACATTCTACTTAATATCTTATACTTTCTCACATTACTTCTAAGCTTCTTACATTATTATCCAATTGGCCTATACCAATAAAATCCAGAGCCATTTAAGCAAATCAGAAAGATGTCACTATATCTGTGTTGTTAATTTTTTACACACCAATTGTAAAAGTGTTGTTAACATTAATAAATCATTCTGGTGTAATAAACAGAAGGTTTACTACGAAAGGATCACCCAAACATCTTGTAAGCTAAAGATTCCAATCGGAAACAATGGAGTCTCCCAGGTTTTCTAATCGTAAGATGGCCGAACGCCGGACGACCAACTGTGCCACGCGAAGCGTTTATTTTCGAATGCCGAACCGGACGGATGTTTACAACAAATCGCCGGGAATAAACGACGTCGTGTGTAATTCATCGATGAACGCGAAACGCGCGCTATCTATCATGACCGGCGCCGGTCGGAATTAATATCCGTGGTTATTAAAACTTTTGGACGGTATCGTAGAAGAAATTTCAGCTGAACCAGTTCTTCTTTCTAATTCCTACGCACCATTTTCAGTGATTAACGATGGCATTATTAATTAAAAGCGGTACGATTAACTAGAAATTACACCGATAATGGTGGGGGGAGCTCCTCCTCGATCGTCGCGGTCGAGCTCTCTGATGAATCTTTATAAGCTCGCAACTACATAGGCAGACTAATCTGTTTAGCCATAAAAATAATTTATTATTAATGTACCGCTATAAATAGCTTGATGGCTCGTTTGTATTCGAGCCGATCCGAGGAGGACGGTATTCGGCGGTGTCGTTTTGTAAATTTTACGGAGCATTCGGGGCATGACAATGCTAAACTCTCTAGTGCCTTCTCCCCGCCCTCCACCTCCGGCAGATAGAATGACCACGAACACGTGTACCGTAGGTCAGTTACGATCTAAAAATGGTGCGGTAGAAAAGTTTCCGATACGAGACCACATAAAAATATTTCCACGTTCTTTTCTTTTCTCGGAACGATCGTAAACGAAACGCTAACGAAACGAATAAAATCGTAATTAATCTACTTCCCGAGCGAGGTTACATACGGCGAAGACGTACGACGAAAGGAGCTCGAATTCGTAATGTATAAACAAGGGCCGCGGCTCCCTGTTCGCGTGTTTCGCACGACGATAAAACTGCACCGATACCTATTCACGCGGGACAATAAATTCGTGCTCGAATCAAAACCGTACTTTATCGACCCATTAATTTATTACCCGAAACGCAGCCCTGGGTTTGACTTGCAAATCCGTTCGTCGTTTCGTCCCGTTCGCCCGACGGTAACGTACGTAGCAAAACGACACGTATGTATACATTATGTTTTCCTTTTTTTTTTTTTTTAACGATCAACAAAACTCGGTACTTTCATGCAACGCCGCCGACTCGTACTCGCCCATTCGGTTATCTCTGGTGCATTATTAAGAACAACATCAGACGCACGGCCATGAATATACGCGTCATGATAGCGTAACAACAATCGGGGATATGACCTGCAAATGTAGTCGTACACGATTACTACGGCAATTCCAATTGTTATTGATTTTGTATGTGCCGACGGGCAAGTTTAGCGCCGTGTTAACGCGCTGACGACACATCCCCGATCGTCGGGGCGATCCTATCTCGCACCGCGACCCATTTATCAACCGTTTCGCATCTTCCGCGCGGAAAGAGGAAACGCTAGCGAACCGTGTAACAGCTATTATAATCGCGATACACGACGGTTTAATGCTCGACCGTGGCATTCTATGGGAGAGTATATACGCTATTAAACGACGCTCGAGCCCCGTTCGATGATACTTTCGGAGTTCTACTTTACTTGATCGGTGAACCGATTGGGAAATAGAGAAGCTGAGTTTGCCCCCTGTGGTCATGCTCTACGAGAACGGGGGACTGAATGCGACGGAAAGGAGATAGAGAACACGGGGTATTACTTGACTTCTTAACAGTGCATACTGGGATCTACATCGAAAGCTGGCTCTAGTGGTTACAATGATCATGCTTTATCAGACAATATGGACAAGGAGGATTTTGCAGCATACAAGGTAAATTTTGGAGTAAACAATACGGAGAAGGATGATTTTGAAGCACACGACACGGACAAGGAAGATTTCGGAGCACACAATACACAACACGCACAAGGACGATTTCGGGGCAGACATAACTCATAAGCTCTATAATACAAGACGAATAGAATGCATAATATCGACTTACCGGTGATCGACATCCACGGGTACCGCGGTATGTCCGAGATGCCGGGTTGTCCCGAGGTGGGTTGTTGGCAGGACGTCAACGGATCGACGACGGCCGATGCAGCGGCTGCCTGGTGATAGAATTGCGCGGCAGCGGCCATAGAAGCGGAGGCCGCTGATACAGCGGAGGATGCGGATGCGGAGGACACCAGGCTACCGGGTGTAGCCCCGTTCTGATGGTGATGACCGAGGGTATAGTTGACCATCGGATCGGCGGACGTGGGCGCGACATTTCCGGTGAGACTGGCTGTATAACGACAGGACTTGTCGCCGGCAGTCGCAGCGTCGACGGCAGCGGCCGCGGCCAACGCGGCGCTCGATGCTGCCGTGGAACCGAAACCCGGCACCATGCTGGACGTGGCACCGAAAGCGGCCGCCGCAACCGCTTGTTGTTGCTGATGATGATGATGGGCTGCCGCCGCAGACACGTACGGATACATGCTTGATGTGGTGCGTGCCGCCGGTGACGTGGATGCTGAACTACCGGAGTGCTGGGGACTCGAGCCGGTCGGGCTTGGGGAATTGTGTTGCTGCGCGTAATTCACCGCCGCGGCCGCGACCGCAGCCGCGGATAAACTGGACTCTAGACTGGTAGCCGGGCTGGTGGTGCACGCCTGGATCGTGCCTGGATTCGCGCTCGAGAACAACTGTTGATGATGAAACTGCTGATGGTACTTCGGTAGCATACTATCGATTATGAATTTCGAACTCATATCGGCTTGTGTACCGATGTACAGCGTGGCCGCGATGCCGAAGACACGCCCGGGACACGGAGGTACCGGGTCCGAGTGTCTCAACACCGACACCGAGCGGCTGGCGTGTAGGCCAGATGCAACAGCAGCAGCTTCATCTTCATCCACTCACTCACCCGTAATTATTTTTCACCCCCGGGGTTCGTGTTCGAGGATTATTAAAATTCTTTGCCGTTTTATAATCTCCCGTGAACCGATAACCGGATTGATTTTATTCCGCACCGTATTCCCCCATGCACTTTGACAACCGTCGGCGCTCTTTTTAAACCGTCGGCAGTCCCCGGAGTTTCCCGTTTGTATGTTTCACTGTTCTTCCGTTTCTCGAAACTCGTCGTTCTATTCCGGCCTCCTACTCTGTTTCCCAAGCTCTGTCTCTCGACTTTCCCTTCTTTATCCGTTTCCTTTTGAGCCCCCACTTTGATTGCCACTTACGCAACTTTACACATTATCACAGCAACGATAGCGGAGCGCAGGCACGAGTTTAGCGGAGCCGTTGGCAAACGGCCTGGCTGGCTGGATCGCGGAATTCACCAGGTGCTCGCGCGACGGCACACCGGCGGAACGTTGCCGAGGAACGTTCGCGTCCTCCGGTTCGTTGACGGTTCACTCTCCTCGGATCATCGTGTCGTCGTCGTTGCGTCGTCGGCTGGCCGCGGGTCGCCGATGGAATCACCACCGTGTCCCAGGCGCGGATGGTTTCTCGGGTTGTGACTCCGTTACGATTCCCCTTTTATGGTAATTACGATTCCTTCCAGCATCGGGACGACGGTCGACAATAAAGCAGCAGGTATTTCGTGGTTTGTGTCGGGGCCCACCCAGCTGATCTAAGTCGCAGAGCGGTCCCAGCGAAGGAAATTGGGCTGCGACGGCGAACAAGGCGACGGCACCGAGGAGAGAGAAGAGAAGAGAAGAGCGTGGCCCCTGTCAGGTGTTAGAAGCCGTTTCTTGCGTACTTCTCGGATAGTCGACGAATCCTTTATGGGCCATGCATGAAGGTACTATAGCCCCCTATCCCGAACGCCGCGTACTACAACCCACGGCCAGCTAAATGTAACCCCTTACAATAATGGCGCCGCTTGTCTCTCCGTTCTGTTCCCCCCTCTCTTCCTACGATCCACGACCGCGCCGGGGTACCAGCTGGTAAACAGAGCCGACCAATCGCGCCGCTCCCTTATCCGTAGTGGACCAATCGCGCGCCGCCTAGGCGCGCCAAGATGAATGGCTCTCTCTCTCTCTCCACACAACCGACCCGACTCACTCTGATCTTCGCTTCTGCCTATGCTTCCAGCTCTCTCCTGTTTCTTTCTCGTGCTGCCGGGCGCCTCTCGTACGCTCTCGCTCCACTACACACCACGCTCCTCGAGCTTCGTCCGTACACCACGCTTCTCTCCCGCCGTTGCTGCTGCTGCTGCTGCTGCTGCTGTGCTGCTCTCTTCGTTTTCAGCGTCGATCCCGATCCACTCTGTTCTGCACTCTGTGTTCTTCTCTCTTACCAGTGCAGTCCTGCTCGCCACGTTGCCTTATGCCTTGCACACACTGCTTTCCAGCCTTCGGAACCTCTCCCGCGATACTTTCCCTCTCTCTTTCTCTCCTTCTCTCTCTCCTTTTCTGTACTCTGTTCAGCTTTCTCTACACTCTCCGTTTTCCTCTAATCTCTACTCTTCTCCGCCGCCGCTCGTTTTTTTCCACCGTGCGCCTTCTTTTTCCGTGGGCTCGCTTCTTCAGCGGTTTCTTTCAACATTAACACAGCACGCGTTTATCCGTTTCTTATTCCCCCGCGAGTCCGTACTCCTTTGTTCCCCTCCGCGTCTCTCCCCCGTCGATATCGGCCACCCTTTTGGCCGGCTCGTAAACGCGTCGCCCGCAATTTCCCCCGGTTCGCAATTTCGTATCGATCTTTCTAATCGCACCCGTAACTTCCGATTTACCCCAGGCTGGGATTGCTCTCGTCCGACGGTCCCTGGGTTTCACCTATAGCTCGCCACGAAATTTTTTCCCTGCCCGCTCGCGTTCTCTCCTCGTTCATTCCTCGAGTTTCTTATCTTCTCCACCTTTATTGCTCGACGCTTTTGTTCCGGGCCGAAGGCTTCTCTTTTATCTAACTCCGCCCTTCGATCCATACCGCGCTCATTGTCGCGGAACTTGTTTCGAGGTGCATCCTCACCAACAAACGTCCTTTTCGAAAATGGCCTCGACTATTTCTCAAACACATCGTGGACCTCATCGGGGTAATCCTTCGGTAGTATCAATTAATATAAAGAACCTTCTTGGATGTTGTATGATGTGTCGCTTCTTCTCTCCCCACCCCTCCCGCCACATTCGACATCTCCCCACTATCTCTTTCGGTCGATTCCGATCCAGAGGGCGCTCGAACCTTCTCCCGATTCCAATGGAACCGCGAGTCTCTCCCTTTTTCTCTCTCTCTCCACCGGGTTCCCACGAGAAATTGCGAGCGAAACTGGCGCGTTTCGGCAGCGTCGTCTGCTCGACTCTTGGAAACCACTGAACCCGTCTCCCTGGTCGGGATAACGGCGGCATTCCTACGGTCTCAGAGTGGTGGTACCCGCCTCGATGGGGCAAGAAGCGACTCGATCCCGGGGGAAGGGAACAAGGTGGCAAGACCCACGGGGAAAGGGGATCGGTAGCGAGGGTGGAACGGTGTGCAGAGGCGGGAAAAAGTTCTCGATCGCGAGATTCCACGCAATGGACAAACCGTTCGATGCTCTCTGGCCCAGCTTCCGTTGAATTGATTCTTTCTTTTTGTCCCTTTACGAGGAGCACGAGCTTCATTACTCTCGATCTCGCTCAGTTTTAAATACGTATAACGCGGGCCGTTTGTTTCCGGTGCAAACGGCCGTGGTAAGGTCCACGATTCATCGGGTTTCTTTGGTCCACGAATTGTAACGAATATACCTCACAAATCGAAGGTTAGTTCCGATTAATTCGGTTATTCGTTCGCTACTGTCCAGGCGAACAATTGTTATTTAAGTAAACAGCGGGGATACAGGTGTAGCTTTAAAGTCCATCGGGTTTCGATGTTACGTACTCACCTCGGACGATTCTCTGCCCACCTGGAACAGAAATATTATTCTCATTAACGAAGAGATTCAAGAGTGTTCTCGTAAATAAACGTACTATAGCACTCATTTAAATTGAGTGTCCCCACCTGAAACTGGCCCAGGAGGGGGCAGAGGATTAGCTGGACCACCGTTCGATCGAGCTCGATCGTAATTTACCACGACAATTACAAATTATTCCCGTAGCAATCCTTTAATTCCTCGTCCATTATAGAAGCACTGGAGAGAAAGATTGGAAAAGGGAACGAAGGATGGGGGCAGGCGTGTCCCACTCAGGTATCTCGGAATGGGGCTGTGCGTCTCGAAACACGGACGGTACGTACTGGCTTCGGAAACCTAATCTATGGAGATGAATGTCCCACCCCATGGAAGAGTCCTCCAACGCGGCTTCGGGCCCTGTTCAAGTTCCTTTAAAGACACCGCCTGCCTCGATGATATCCAACATGGCAACTCGACGTCACAAAAGGAGAAATGCCTCTCTCCTCGCCCTTTGTTGCCGTGGGCCGGCCAGATCGATGGAACGATATAGAAAACGACCTGAACAACAACGTACGGTTATCACCGTGTTTTCTTTCTTTTTCTTTATACACATGGGATGTGAACTCGTTTAATCCACTGTCAGCCGCGGGAACGGAGATCCACAGGAGACAGATAAGAGACTGAAAATTGTACGATGTTTTGACGGGACCACCACCCCATTTTATTATCCCTTGGTGAGAACTGTTCGCGATTCGTTCGACGATTACTCGGATCGTGACGTGGACAGTTGGAGGTAGAACAGATATTTACGACATTGGGGAACGGTCGTACCCGTAGGATTAATAGTATCAGCAATTAGGAAGGACTACCGCCGAAAATGCCACCTTCGCTGGTCCCCCTCCACATATATCTATCGGATCCTCGAGGCCACCGCCGCCATCCAATCGTCCCGAGCGACGATCCCCTAATAAACTCGGGATCCGTTGATGTACGGTCACCGATCCACACACCAACCGATCCCATAATTACGTAAGCGAACGGATCGAGTCCGAGACAAAGGTTTCGTCAACGCTGCCGAGTCCCCGAGCCCGGTATCCGAGAGGAGACCGGTCCAATTATATGAACGATCATGACGCTTGTCCGGCTACGGAGCCGGTCGTCCGTATCCGTGGTTGCGTGCGTGAGTGCGTGCACGCACAGAGGCCTGCGTGAACCACGACAACGACGTAGAAAGTATACGTGTACCTGTCTTGAGCACCACGGGGTGTAAATTGCGACCGTGGACACGGACCGCCAGCTAGACGGATAAAGACAGAGGAGAGCCCGTTGGTATGCGTGGATGTTGGTGGAAAGATGCGCGGGGAGGATAAAGAGGTGGTCTGGTTCTTCTGGAACCCTCAAACGTGTCCGTGGAATTCTCGAGTCAAGGTTCCCCCTGTCTCTTTCTTTCTCTCTTGGGGGAGAAATTTCACGGAGGGGAAAGGGGAACGGGGACAGCAAGCGAGCGAGCAAGGATGGAAGGGAAAAGAGAAATTGGGCGGTGGCGGTGGTCCTTGCCGGATTACCCCGGCTGATGGCCAGGGGTGGTGAGTCGGGGTGACGCCCTGACGATCGGAACAGAGGCACCTAGCGCGCCATCTTCGTGGAGATAAAGAGAATTCCCGAACCGTGTGCCTTGGAACGTTCTACCGGCATCCTCGTCGCCCCGATCAGCGGAACCCGAAATTTGGTGGCGGAGAAAGGTCCTGAGACAATCTGGGGGTAATATAGCCTGTCGGTTCCCGCGGAAACCAGCGATCGAATATGTCTCAACGAGTGTTGCATCCTTGGAATTTTTTGTGGCCGGGAACGAGTTAACTGGGGGTCACCAAAATAATAATTTCGTTGCGACGAAATTAATTTCTC